CCCGGTGCAGCGGAAGGCCCCGGGGCCTCCTGCTGCTCAGAGCAGAGAGCCGGCACAGCAGCTGGGCACCGACCGCTGCCAGCTTCTGCAGAAAGTCATGAGCTTAGTCCCATCCATCAAATCCCCGAATTACCAAGGTTCAAGGGGCGCTTTGCTTCAATTCTTTCATAATAACCGAAATGTACCTTTATGTGATGCAAACGTAGCCACTGTAACAGTTCCAGAAGCATCATGGGGGAAAAAAATGATGGAGATAATATGCATCTTGTGTTTAGACTTCTCTATATACTTGGTTTGAGGCATAACTTGGCGTGTATGGTAGCTTCTCCCTCTCTGGAGTAGACTGGTCATATATTCTATTGCAAATTCAAAAAGCAGTATTGATTTGGCTTGCAATGTATTCTTTTTCTTCACATTAGACCTAAAAATTCAAAACAGCCAGAGCGTGAAGAGAAACGAGTCCTTGGTCTTGTCTTGCTGCGAGGAGAAAACCTGGTGTCCATGACAGTTGAAGGACCACCTCCAAAAGATGTAAGGAGAATGAGTGCAGAGCTAAGGAGAAGGGGAAGGGACAACTGATAAATTTGCTTCCTCGCAGGGGAATGCTACTACAGTATTGTCCTAGACTTCCAGATGCTGTTGTGACTAGGTCAATGAATTTCACTGCAGGAATTTCTGATCCCTGTGTGGGCTTGGACATTAATTGTGCAAAGGAGAGCTGTGGGCATCCCTAGGATCTGAGGAATTTTGTTCTGATAAATCTTTCTTTTTTTTGTGGGGGCGGTCTCTATTTTCAGACTGGAATTGCCCGGGTACCTCTTGCTGGAGCTGCTGGAGGACCTGGAGTTGGGAGAGCAGCAGGGCGGGGAGTACCAGCTGGTGCACCCATGCCACAGGCTCCAGCAGGATTAGCTGGCCCTGTCAGAGGAGTGGGAGGACCATCCCAACAGGTGAGATGCTGTGACCCATTAAAAAAGAGTTGTTGGCTATATTCTGGCATGGCTTTTAATTCTTGGTACCATTATAACGAAAAAAGCCAGTAAAGTGCAAGAACGGTAATCTTAGTTTCCGTTACTAGGGAGTTTGAGCCTAGCGAGGCTTTTTAGGTACTAGATCCCCTTAGGAACTCTTTCTTATAAGACGGAAGAAACAGCTTGAAAATTGCAGCTTCTTGCACAGAATTCAAGCAATATCCACTGAATTGTATTACAGGTTTGTAGTGTTATTTAATATGTTAAGAGGAGACTGGTGTAATTTTCTGAAGGGTAATAATTTAAATCTTGCTCATTTTTTAGTTATCAATGTAAAGCATATGTTGTGCTGTTTCTCTGTGAATTTGTTTATTTTGTTTACAGGTGATGACACCTCAAGGTCGTGGAACAGTTGCAGCTGCTGCTGCAGCTGCTAGCATAGCAGGAGCCCCAACTCAATACACACCAGGGCGTGGGGGTCCTCCTCCACCCATGAGCAGAGGAGCACCTCCTCCAGGTAGGAATTAGTGGGGCAGCAAGGAGCTCATGTTATGTGGCAAAATTGGTGATAAAGAGGTATTTATCTGGGTCTAATGAAGATCTGGTATTACGGAGCATTTTTCTGATCTCCAACTAGTGCCTTGAATATTCAGCTGGATTTATATGCTTGTTTTTTCTCTGGCATAAGGAATGATGGGACCTCCTCCAGGCATGAGACCACCCATGGGCCCACCAATGGGAATGCCCCCTGGCCGAGGTGCTCCGATGGGAATGCCACCCCCTGGCATGAGACCACCACCCCCAGGAATGAGAGGTGAGCAGAGGTTATCTTAAATGCCTAGAAGCTCCAAGAAGCCATAACATAAATAAAATGTTTGGTGATACATTTCAATGCCTCCCTAGCTGTGCTCGGTGCTAAAAAAGGGGTCCTAAGGCCACTTTGGGCATGGGGAAAATGTCTTTCTGGTTTAGCCTCGCTTCTTTCCTCTTCAACTCTGTCCTTTATTCCCAGGACCCCCTCCACCTGGCATGCGACCACCAAGACCGTAAGATATTCTATAATCTACTTTGAATTGTAAGAAGACTGATTAAGGGAATATACCAAGCAGTACCACCTGTCAAAGCTTTGCTATGTATATTTTATATTTACTGCTTGTAAAGTTGGCCCTTTTTAATAAAGTTGGAAAACCTAATACTTTGTCACTGTTGTATTGGTCTATTTCAGGAATACAGCTGTTACATTTCACTACTACACTTTAGTCACCCCAGAAGAAAGAGCAGATTTGAAGCAAAAAGCTCAATTTGTATTGACAGCTTAGAAGTTAACAGTTGGTCTGGGCCACTTAAGTCTATAGTGGTCAGTGTTCCTTATAGGAATTAAAGCTTATCAATGAAATCTGTCAAGGCTGATGGAAAAAAAAGTCTGTTGGGAAGAGTTTTAACATTTTCATGCAATTAAGTATGGGTTACTGATCAGAATTCTCCTTGCTTTATTCCAGTGGAACAAGTACAATGGTGCCTATATTACGAATGCAATCTCTCATGCTCTGCATTAAGCTGCTCCTTATTAGCCTGCAGTAAGCCTGCTTGATCTTTATAGGTGAAGCTGCATTGCTTCTCCTAAAAAAAATAAAGCCAGGATGAGCAAACCTATCATTAAGTACATCCAACAATGTAAACCAGCCTGTATTCTGGTTTTAGTCTTCCCTTCTTGCCTCATCGTACAGCTGCTGCCTCCTCCCTACCTTTTGAAGATAGTACTTTCTTCAGATCATAGAGTAGAATTAAACCAAATCTCTTGGAGACTTGTTTTAATTCTTGTGACTGATCTCTGAAGCTATCTTTGCAATAGATAATCTTAAAAACTTTTTTCCCCTATTTTAGAAGTACGCTCTGTCCCACAGAAATCCTTGTCAGCCATGTTAATTGAGATCACAGAAGTGTATGAACAAATAAATAAGCGTTCTCTGGTTTTTGTCCTGAAGACAACTTGACTTACATGAACTAGAGGTCTAACAGAAAGATGTAACATATCCCAGCTCTCAGTTGCTCTAGCTATCCAATAAAACAGCGTAAACTTTGTAAAAAAAAAAAAACAAACAACCAAAAACCCAACCAAAAATCAATCCTTTATTGCATAGGCTGCTGAAGATGTTTTCACATAAGGTCTTGAACCAGGCACTAACAAACATCTAAAAGCTATTCCAGAACTTGAAGAAAAAATATTCAATTTTACTGAAGTTGTCTCCTTGCAATACAAAGAAATCCAGGCCCTGAAGAGAGCGTGTCTGAAACTACCCATTTGGTAATTACGGTTCTTACTTTCTCTTGTACCTGAAAAAGAAGATATTTGAAATTACATTTCACTAGCCCAAATCTCAATGAAAGATAAGGAACAGCACTGAGTGTTTTCTAGGCAATGCTCTCCCAAGCAGAAGCCTAGGAATGCTATTAAAGGCAGTATCCTTAATTGCCCCCAGCATCAGACCTGCAGTAGGAGGGTAAGCTACTGCAGAACCAACAAACCTTTTAGCAAGGGCCTTTAAACAATCACAAGAGGAGGAAAGAAAGCAGGAAAAAAAACCCCTTGAATAAGAAAGAAGATGAAGATATACCTGGACTTGGATTTGAAGTTTCCTCCTTTCCTATGTTGGGCCATACCCAAGCGTTTTCGATCTTCAAATGATGGGCTTTTTAAAGAGAGGGGAGGGGGAGAGGTAAGACAAAAACCACTGAAGTCACATCAATAGCACAGGTACTTCCGCAAGAATCTCTGCTCTGCCTGCATTTCCCCCCAGTATACGCCAAAGTAGCCCTGAGAAAGTCCAGAGATGCAAAAAAAAATCCCCTCTACTGAAGTCTGGAGTAAAGTACTTCCACTAAGACATTACCCAGCACGGTACTGCTTCAGAGCCTTCCTGCTTGTGTTGGTAAGCTCTTCGTCAAACACAGACGATTTTTTCTTCCGCTTGAGGCCTAACACAGACACAATCGTCAGAACGTTGGTTGTAAAGAGAAGGCCACAACATCATCTTGTTTACTAGAACCCAGTAGCCTTGACGACAATTAGCCTAAACATCAGGAAAAGCGATGACTCCTCTCTGCAAATATGCACCCTGGCCAGCACTAGTGGTCATTCCTTTAAAGATCGGTGCCTCACTCTATACAGATTACTTTAGTTTACCTATTTGTAACAAAGTAAGTGACATAAGGTCACTTACTGTAAGTGTAAGTCAGCTGTAAAAAAAAAAAAAGCGCCCACCTGCTGGTACTGGCACTGGTTCCTCTTCTGGCAAGACTCTGGCTCTCTTTGCTCGGCGATTCCTTTTTGCCAGCCGCTCAGCATACATTTGAGATTTCAAGATTTCAAACTGTGATCTCTCCTCTGGCTGAAAGGTGTTAAAACACAAGTTTACAGTAATGTGAGATTTTGCTAAGGGGAAAACTTGGATAGGCCACCCGAGGTCTCACTTGTCCATTAATGTACTCACTGTCATTTGGACTTTTTTCTGTCTGTCCTGCATAAATTTCTTCCTTTTCTTTTTGCCTCGTAATGCTAGGTCAAACTCCTGCAGGGCTTTAGCCACTGGAGAGATAAAGACAAACACGGAATAAAGAATCTCTTGAAGTACAGAGCAGAGTTCAGTTGCAGCTATGGAATTTAACATGGCAGCAGAGTTATGACTCACGTTTCTCTTTCTTCCTCTCCTCACGGGTCTGAAACCAGCTCCGCTCCAAACCCTCACCCACAGTCTCTTGTTTTCCAGTCTCCAGCTGCTTCTTTGCCCTATTGATCTGAGATAATTCAGGCAAGAAGTGAGCTCATGGTGGCTAAAAAACCATCTCTCTCTTCCCTTTCTAAAGTAGGCAGATTATGTACATTAGGGTGACCTCCTTATGCACTATAGCTACTCCAGATCCTAAAAAAACTAAGGTTAAAAAAAAAAAAAATCCTAAAAAACCACTTACCTGGGCCTCTGACTGCTGCATCTCACGTTCCTCACGCTCCAAGCACAGAACAGCATACACATCTTTCTCTAGCTTCTCAATCTTCTCTCGAAATTTTAGTACAACATCTGAAAACAACACAATATGAACACAAGAAGCATCTCATATAAAGTCCACCTTGTTTTTCAGCACCTCTTTTAGTGTCCCTCTGTACCACGATATTCCCCATGTACTGCTTTCCTGTTTTCTACCTCAGTGAAGTGTGTACCTTGGGGGAGAATTCTGGCTTTCACTGGTGTTTTGGCAGTCTTCACAATATCCTTCAGCATCTTGCGCTCCTCCTCACCCACAAGTGAAACTGAACGACCAGCCCTGCCTGCTCTTGCTGTCCGACCCACTCGATGAACATAGTGTTTGGTGGTGTTGGGCATGGTAAAATTGATTACCTATAACAGAAATGGTGTTAGCAGGGAAAACATTAAAGGACTCACTAAAAAGCTGAGCACTGCAAATACTCACTGTTTTGACACCTTCAATATCAAGTCCACGTGCAGCCACATCTGTAGCTACCAGAATATCGATCTGCTCATCCTTAAAGCGCCTGAGCAGGGAGATAGCAAATGTATTAGCAATGAATAGAGCAATTCACCTCTGCCCTAAAACTTCCAACTCCTAACTTCTTTTTTGCCTATGATTGCCAACTACTAAGCCTGCTAATACCTGAGTGCTTCCAGGCGCTGTGCCTGAGAGAGGTTCCCATGAAGCTCACCAACCCGTAGGCCCATCAGCCCAAGTAGGATATGCATACGGTGCGCTTGCTTCTTGGTCTGGGTGAAAAGCATCACATGATCTGGGAAGGTTCGTGTCAGTAGAGCTGAAAGAAAGTTCTCTCAGGAGCCTGCTTCATAGTCACCTACCAATTCCAGCTTTTTTTTGCTCACTAACCTGATACAATGGCCTCACGGTCCCCCTCTCGGTTGGCTCTGATCCGGACAAATTCCTGCCGCAGGAAAGGGGCAACATCTGTATTACTGTTCACAAAAATGCGGACGGGATTTTTCAGGGAAACGGAAGCCAAATCTTTCACCTATCAAAACAGGTTAAGGAAAAAACAGTCCACATTATCTCTGGTAAAAGACCAGACAAACTTCTATTCAACTTTCTGTCTCAATATGCTTCTCAGTAGCCTGTCTTACCTCCTCTGTCATTGTGGCAGAGAAAAGCATTGTCTGACGGTGGCTGGAGCACAACCTGATTATTTCCTTCATCTGTTCCTCAAAGTATTCATCCAGCATCCTACACAGGAGAAAAACAGCAAGGTAAGGCAGCTTCCTCTGCTTCTAGCTAAGAAACACTACTTAAGGCAGGGCAACAAAGACTGCCCTATAGCCTGCGAAAAGGAAAGCAGAAAACTACCATCTCCTTTTTCACTGCTACCTTGCTTAGCCTACCTGTCCGCTTCATCCAAAATCAGCACCTCAACACTGCTCAGGTGGAAAGAAGGGCAGTTGTGGAGATGATCAATCAGTCGCCCAGGAGTGGCAATAAGAATGTCTGGCCCAGAACGAAGAGCTGCTTCCTGAGTCTTCACATCTAGGCCACCTGAAAGAGAGTAAACATGGACTACTGACTCCCTAAGCAGGTTGCAGTAGAGTACAGATGCAAATTGCCTGAGGTATGGGAAACAACTCAGACTAACACCATGTTCACAATTAGAAGTGACCTCACCTTTTCTTTCTCAGAAACCTACAAACAAAAAGTACAGTACGGTATTGGAAAGTGGGATTTTAAAACAGCACACCTACTAGACGCACGCCTGCAATAACCGTACATTCTCCAGTTTTATAACACAGAATTCCCAGTTCTGCACAGCAGTTTACAGCAAGCTGCACAGTTCACATAAACAACTTAATACTCACCTACAGCAAGGCAAGTTGTGACACTGCTGAACTGTGCCAGCTGTTTTGTGACCGAGTGCACCTGAATACCCAGTTCTCGTGTTGGCACTAGAACCAATACCCGTGTTATTGGAGCCTGACGAGGTTTGTAAATCAGGCGCTCAAGGACAGGCAAGATGAAGGCAGCTGTTTTACCTAAAGAAGAAAATTAAGAATTACTAATTATTGTGAATAGCTAATTCTCCATGTTTCCTGTGCCCTGCTCAACCCCCTACCTGTCCCAGTGGCAGCACAGGCACAAATATCCTTCCCCAGAAGACCCACCGGGATACAAGCCTTCTGAATTGGGGTTGGCTGCTTGAAGCCAAGAGCTGTGATTGCCTACAAAGAAGATTGAGCAATTAAATTCTGTCCCTGGTATGGCCGTAACTGGAGTACTGTCTCCAGTTCTGGACTCTCGAGTACAAGAGAGACGTGGACATACTGGAGACAGTCTAGCAAAGGGCCACAAAGATTATGAAGGGACTGGAGCACCTCACATATGAGGAAAGGCTAACAGAGCTGGGACTGCTCAGCCTAGAGAAGACCTGAGGAGGACCTTATCAGGGAGACTGAAATAGGACAAAGTCAGGCTCTTTCCAGTGGTGCCCAGTGACAGGACCAGAGGCAATGGGCACAAACTGAAACACGGGAGGTTCCCTGTGAACACCAGGAAACACTTTTTCACTGTGTCACAGGTTGCCCAGACAGGCTGCAGTGTCCATCCTTGGAGATACTCAAAAGCCATCTGGACACGGTCCTGGGCAACCAGCTCCAGGTGGCCCTGTGTGAGCAGGGGCTTGGACAAGATGACCTCCAGAGGTCCCTTCCAACCTCAGCCATTTTATGATTCTGTCACAGGTCTCTCTCAAGATAGTGTTGACATATTGCAAATCAAACAATGGCTTCCATTATTTGGGAACAACAGCTCCTACAGGACTATCACACTATCTCCCACATAACTTCCTTTTCAGAAAGGCTGCAAAGAGAATAGGAATTTGACAGCTCTGATTGGTGGAAGGGAGGCTGTATAACACTCTTCATAGTAACGTATGTAATAACTAAACTAGGTAAATACCTTTAGCAAAGGTCGTGAAAGATTCATGTCCTGGAATGACAAGTTATCATCATATTGAGAGGCATCTTCAAAAAAGCTCTCTGCTTCCTAGAAACAGAAACAACAACAAAACTGGAACAATACAAGGCAGCAACACAACATGTTATTAATGGGCTCTGGGCTGTTTTTTGAGCTACAGTTAACCAAAGTCAAATTCCTACAGAAGAAATGCTGGAGAATGACCTAGTGTCATTCTGTTGAACACTTACAATTTCTCCCTTTTTCGATCTCCTCTGTTCCTTCACTTTGACTGTATCTGCAGAGAAAGAGAAATGTGACAGGAATTAACAAGCACAGCTAAACACGTAACAAGATATGGTGACTACTTTCATCTCATACTGTCTACTCTGAATGAGCTAGTGAGGGAGAAGCCTCAGAAACAAGTACAGGCATGCAATGGAGTAAAATGCCAAGCAAATATCCTTCCTTAGGGACAAGTTCAACTAAAGTACTATGGCTATCATTCAAAATAAGCTTGACCAAAATCAGAGGGAAGATAACAAAAAATGAGGCTCTTGCCCACTCCCAGCAAGGCTTCACTACATTTTCTCCAGTGAACCAAAAGCCTGTCAGATTGTTGCTCCTGGCCATCTCTCTACATACTGCTAATACCTGCTTTTGTGAAGATAGTTTCATCATCCAATGAATACTGAGACTCCACATCTTCCTCTTCCCTACTGAAATCCCCACACTCCCCCTTTTTGGTTTGATTAGCCTCAGTCTCTGCATCTTCATCTCTCACTTTGGTTTGTTTAGCTTCTCTTTCCTAGATAAAGATTTAAAAAAAAAAAAGATAAAAAAGAAATGTAAATCCTCTGTGAGCTTTTGTTTGTTTTTATCATGAGGCCATTCACAGATCCATGGTTTTGCATAACCTTAAGCATTCACAATTCGGCATTCTCAACAGTCCAGCAACACACCAGGTGTGACTGTAAACCCAGCGGAGGCGACGAGCTGCAGCCTGAGCCCCGCACCTCAGGCTGCTTTCAGAGCCTGTGCCTCCGGAGGGAGCACAGGAGAAGGCCGAATGCACACAGACTTTTCAGTAACGAGAGAGAAAGGACCTGACCTGGAGCTTCCTTTGCTG